AACAACAACTCGTTGAAGCCCTAAGCACTGAAAAGCACATAATCATTTATGTTTGTCAAACGAAACAACTGGCGATATCTCTACAGATAGGGTAGCGTTTAATTCATATCTGAACTCACAGAACCACTCAGAAATATTCCAAGATGATTTCGAATTTGTACTACTTTCCCTTGTGTTTGTTTGTGTTACCGCGGTTAAAATATAAACAAATCGATAACAGTAAACAACTTGTTTTACTTTTATTAGAATTTTTAAAAGGAAACCTTTCGAAACCTTTCGCTTATCGTATTTTTGCATAAAGCGTGCGTTCTTTCTCAAAAGTATCAGAATCACGTGATTGTCCATATTTGGCAATTACCGGAAGTAATGTTAAAACTAAATTATAAAACTAAACTATAAAACTGACTAAATTAGGGGGGTATATTTCCATACACCTAACATTTGGAACTCGATTTATTCCAACCAAGCAAATTTTTATCAAACCCATTTCCTAATTCTAGCCTCAATAATAGCCGCAAAAACATTTCATAGCAATCTTAACTTCATGTTTCCCGAGTAAACGCACAAATTTTTTGCTGATATTTCAATTTCTGCATTTCTCCAGCCTCGCACTGCTTCGAACATAAATAAACTCTTGGTCCTTTCGAAAATGTAGTTAGCATGTCTGTCATGGGCAATACCAAATTATGCATAGCTTAAGTAAATATCAATGTTAGTCTTCGTTTGGACACTTGCGTGAGTAAAAACGGCAGGAATGGTGATACAGATTGTAGTGAATAAATAATTCATGTAATGGTGGAGGTCTTATTTAATAATTAGCTAGTGCGAAATTGGCAGTGTGGATCATGTATAAGCTTAAAAGTTGCTTTTTGTTACTTAAAAAAAGGTGGGTCGAAACCAGAACAGTTGCTCAAAATTTAAAACGTTGTTCAAAAGTTGACGAACACAATCTGTAGAGGCCTATATTTATTTATTGGTGAAATTAAAACGACATGCAACATGAAGTATTACTTGAAAACTACGGGACAAATGATTTAATCATTGAAATATAAGTTTGCAGATAATGAATTATTTCTCTTGGGGACCGGTCATTATTAATGGCCGGGGGTGGGACACACAACACCGAGTTTGCTTATATACAACATCACAAAAAAGTGGTAAACAAGTATACATGTCAATGTTCCACCAAATCGAAAACCGTATAAATTACACACTGATATTAACTGGTCGAGAAGCACGTTTACTGTATGTTGAGCATTATAATAGCAATTTGGCAAGAAGAGATTTAAGCAAACATCAAGCATTATCTGTTCATGTGCATCTTTGAGGAGCATCATCGAATAATTAAATAATTATTAAACATACTGAACCGAAAAAGAAAAACTCTATTTTAATATCATAAACATTCCAATTGTTAATTCTGTTCAAATATACAATGAAAGTTATAAATCCAGGTAGAGTGTGCAATAATAACTTATACTTTCGTTTGATTTTATATGTCCGTTTTCAATCACAATATTAAAAGACAAACTCAGCGCGCCAAGAGTTGTATTTCCACAAGCAGAGCTGTGTTTAATATGCCGAGTGTTATGTAAATCAATATGCAGATTTGGGGAAAGCGGAAACTTGACCCGATCTTACATCATCGGAATTTATCGGAATTATAATGAATATCATGTCTAATCCCCAGTTGTCTCTCAAATTCCTGTAAATCACATCATTCACATGTCACTTTTTTGTTTTGAATGAGAATCTAGTGAATATTCGAGATGGCTGAGAATTTAACGTTCGAAAATTTTATGTCTTCATTGAAATTTACTGAGGAAAACCTGCAGCGTTTTAAAGACACTGGCTTTGACGATGTGGAGTTGATCAAGACCATGGATGCTGAAGAGAAACAACAAATGTTTGATATTGTTGGCTTGTCCAAGAAACCTGGTCATTTGTTGAAATTCAAGAAAGCTCTTTCTAGTTTTGAAAAACCATCGATTGACATCGTTGGAGGCACGAATGATATAAATATGAATACAACACCAACGACGACCAAGCCGACTTGTGTTAAACGAGGAAAGGCTCAATGTAGTAAGTTAATTTCTTTAATATATTACACTGTTGACTGTTTATATTGATTTTTATATGTATTAATATAGTTAACATTGAATTATTAATTAAATGATTGATCAAACAATTAAGCTGTAGTGTCAGGTTGTTTTGTTAACCATTGAGCTGCAGAACTATCCCCTTGTCTGGGAACTATCACCGCTTTGTCTTGAACTGTATCCACGCTCTTCTTAGTTATATGTCATTCTTTAACTTGTTTCTTCTCGTTTTATTTTGCCCAAAGATTATGAAACAGCAGAAACGTTTTTGAAAAAATTTAAATGACAGTTAAATTGCTAACGTTCCCATTGAAATACAAACTTTTGTCTAAGGCAATCAAAACATTGTTGATTTTTTTTACGCATATAAACTTAAATATAAACTACAGCCAACTGCTTTAGCTAATGTAAGAGTTCAACTCCGACAACAGGATATCAGTAGTTGAAGGAATGTTTACAGTTCTCCAAGAACGACTATACCACGGACAGACACAACCCTAGTTCCAAGAAGAGCAAAAGCTTTCTTCTCGCGTAACATGCAATTGGGAACGATGGAAGTACTAAAACTATTTTTCTCAGCCAGTTTGCCTGCTAGGAGCGAAAGGAAGTGACAAGTCTCCCTTCCACATCCACCGTAGCCTATAGGCACTGTTCAACAATTATTTGATTAGCTGGCGTTTTTCTCACCTTCGTTGGCGTCAAACGAGCTAAGTGTTTGGCGTCGATGTGTCGAAGCGTAAGGACTAAACACCCTGACATAAAAAATACTTTTCCCATCTCGCAGCTATGTCCACTCTTGTGTCGTCGGCTTAATTAGCTCTGAATGTAAGTACTTCGCCAGTCAAAGGAGCAAGAGTAGGTTCTGTAGAAACGTAATAGGCCAGGTCGTCTATAGCAGAAGTGAAAAAGTCAGGGATTTCGTCATAAAACATCTTTCAGGCACAACAAGGAATGCTCAACGGTGATATATTTCCACAAGCGCAGGGAAAGGATGTAAAGCACTTCAATTGCACCGCTAACGCATGTAGATCGCGTCAAAGAACTCTCGATTCAATGTGCAACACCAGCTTGTTTTGGACATGTCGATGATTAACTATCTCACGGCGCAAATCGTAGGTGGATGCTCCATTTTCATTTTCTGGAACGTCATCATTCTGATGGATGATATTGCTTGAGAGATTTTGACAGATGGTCCTTGAGTTCTTCATACCTACAACAGTGCGTATATGGTAAATTAGTCTGTGCCGAAACCCTGATACAAATGCAGCATATGCGGCTTGGGGCTCGAATTTAGCAATTCCACTTAAAATGTAGAGTTGCTGACACAATTTACTAACTAAAGACAAAATGTACTTATCTTTTCCATCTTCAGAGCCAAGATATCCGCCAAGGAACTTATTTTCTTCAGTTGTTATACGAACACCAGTTCCAGTTCACAATCAACCAGGATTTATCAGCAGCACGCGGACCAAGGCGAGGACCATAAATAGCAATGTCCTCCCAGGAGGAACGCAATTGGGGAAGTCTACCAGCACCACGAAGGTCATCAGTGAAAGCAACATGTCGAACATCACTAGCTTCATCACATTTAATGAACTGCAGCAAGGGTGTAATAGCGACAGTATACAGCGGCATGGCTAATGGAACACCCTGTGTGGTACCTTCAGCAGAAGTAATTTTTTCCCACCTTGGACAAACAATCCTAACGCTGTGACATAACAGTTGAAGGTGTTAATTGCCTTGGCAGGAAAAATGTATTGAATGTTGCGTAACATCATTCTCCCGTTGAACTCGTTTGTAGCATCCATCAATAACACAGCACCCGTTTTATCGGCTGCAAAGATGTCTGACATGGCATGAACTGCCGCCTCACAGCCAGCTGGTTGTCTGGCACAAAGCTGAACATCACCTGCATTTTCCATGATTTGAGGCTTGATTGCAAAGATAATTGACTTCTCAATGACCCTACGAAACACTTCATCAATTCAGATGGGACGAACGCCTTGGTTCTTATCGAGTGGTATTAGGCGACATACTAAAAACTGCTCCAAACTTGGGGTCTGATCTGGTTCAATATTAACCTTCCGTGTGACCGTCTTGCAAGTGATCTCGCCATTAACGCAATCGCGGATCATAGATCTCTGCCAGGGCTGCATTTCTATCCACTAGCGAAGGTCTTGGAAAGTTTTTTAATGGATACCTTCCTAGAAGCAATCATAATCTTAAGCAGCTCATCAAAATTCCCTTCTTCCAATAAAGCCATGCGCCAGGAGAAGCATGATACATCATAGTCTTTGGATCTCGATTTGAATCTTTGGACTTTAGATGTCGATTTGTTACAACGTTGTTGATTACCAGCCGTTATTCGCGCATAGGCATAACTGACAAAACTGTCGAACATCGACCGTCCACGACAGGACAACTTTGGATTCCGGTATGTATCCCGGGTTCCGCGTGTAATTCCTAATCTCCAGGGGGAATTAGTACCGTCGCACAATGCCCCTCACCGGCTCGAGAACCGGGGGCCGGTTGTATAAAATACTTTAAACAACATTTTATATAGTTAAATCCTACATAACTCACAAATGCACGACTCTGATTGGCCAATTCTGTCCTTAACTACAGGTAAAAGTTAACTAGTCTTTTATACAACTGGCCCCAGATGTTGTTTGCAAAAACGCGAAATTCGCACCATCAGGTTCTTTCAAGAGCCAGAAATTCTCAATAGAACATGAATGAATAGAGATATTAGTATTTAAAACCCCTTTAGATATTTAAAACTAAAATCATGCTTCATGAAGCAGTCCTAACATGGGGAATTCCTGTTAAAGTAATTCAGATAATTCAGATAATGACGAGGAAGAAGATTGAATAACTAATTTACGCACGAAAAATACGTACCAAGACACGCCGTTCCATTGGAATAGAAACCTTTCTTACATATACATTCGTAAGAACCTGGGGTGTTGTTGCACGAGATGAAAATGGCTAGATTACACGGAGATGACAAACATTCATCATTATCTAAATGAAATAGTTAAAGGAAAATAGATTAATAAACACCAAACTAGGTTGAAGGAATGATACATACATATAAAAACTTTAATGTAATTTATGATAAAATTAACTATATACATACTTAAAAGAATTCTAAATAAAACTAGATCAAAATTAACTATTCTAATCACCATGCATTTTCAAATGGACTGTTTAAACTCTTCGAAAGTCATAATGATTGTTGTTCTTCCTAATTTTTATAGAAAAGGAGTACTTCGCACGTAAAGTTAAAATCTAAAAAACTTTAAAAAACCTCTGCAGTCTTAACATTTAGTCCAAAATCGTCTACCACTTCAAGTTCTTTTCTTTAGAAAGGTGATCTAGATCCCCTTACACTCGCATGATACATCAAAATGTACAATTAATCGGTACAAAATGTACAATTAATCGGATACATGATACATACTACCTGTCTAAATACTACGCTATCGGACGCAATATACCCACCTGTGCAAGCGTGGCCACTGACATTGAAACCACTTTCACAATGACAAGTTCGTGAACCATTTATGATGGAACAGTAGCCTTGAACACATTGGCATTTTCCTGTAATTTAAAATCGGTGCGTATTCTATGGCTTCTCTGGTACATTTGAGAAAATATGCGGCGCAGTGGAGTAGACCACGCAGGCATGTGCTATATAATAGAGAGTTTTGAAACGCTAAATGACGACGACGACATGTGCGACACTGGTTCTCGAACTCCTAATAGCTCCTAAGCCTGTCCTCATTCGCATTTACAAATTCTGCGACACAAAGAAGGTTTTTTTTCGCACTAAACAAGGGTGAATAATGTTAGCCAATCAGTGCGTTTGTTTACATTTTTCGTTCTTGACTAATCAACAGGGACCAAAAACAATAACCAATCAACGCGTTTGTTGACATTTGCGGTGCTAGACCAATCAGAATGCGGCAATGGCGGCAATGGCGGCAATAGCGACAATGTTAACAGAAGGCGTGGTGAAAATAGCGCCTTCTTTTTCGAGCCCCTATATCTCCTTTCCAGGTGATCTCTTGCTCATATTTCAACCAATCAGCGTTCAGAACGTTTGTAAAAATAAAAATCCATTGTGCAGTATTTAATCGATTATATCTTTTGTTATTCTTGATGGAACCATTCGAAATTTTGTGTTCATGTTTAATTATAAGAGCTATAGCTCTGATATAAATTTGAAACCGAAATAAAGTATATTTCATGAGATATTTTAAAAGTTGTTTTAACGAAGAAATAGATTTTCATATGACAACTAGTGCTAGTCCTCTCCCGCCATATCAGATCACCTGGCTCTAAGAGGCAAATGGCGCCAATTCGAATTACACCAAATTTCTAGGGGTTCAAGTGACCCGTCGCAACCAGGTAATAAAACCCTGAGTACGAGGTTGCATTGTCAGATGTTTTGCCTCACACAAGCAGCTATAACTCAGATTTATTATAATAAATTTAAATTGTTGAACAAAAATCAAAAATCAAAATAAATTGAGGGGTTTTATTTTAATAAAAGCTATATATGAAACTGCAAAATTCTGCGTGTGTGAGCGCAAGAAAATTATTTTTTTCGACGGAAGATTAATTATAATTTCTGTTGGGTAGTTTCCTTACAAAAGCGAATTGAAGAAGTCAAGCTTACACTGAACATTTACCAGAATGTATGAACTTACCTTCCGGTTGTCGATCTTTGTCTACGACCAGAAGATCTCTCACGTCGAAGCCTTTTGGTAACGGAATATAGCGAGATATATCTCTGCTGGTGACATTCATTTTTAAGACAATGGGTGAAATTCTTTCTTTCCAGTAAAGAAAATCTCCAATAACGTCCACTAACATCCATTCTCTAAGAACAGGTGAACCAAAATTAGTTGTGTCAATTGTGTGATTGCTGTTAAGGCCATCGTAATCCATTTCAATTAGGACTTTAACTGTTTCCAATCCGTCGTATGCATATATTCGCTTCCTGTTGCAATGCAGAGCCAGATAGCCATATTGCGTTCTGAAAACATATATTTGTTTTTCTTTTTTAGTAGCCAAGTGTCTTCGCATTACCATTCCTCCACCATACGCAATCCAAAAAAGATATCTACAGTGAACAACAATACAAAATTGTAATTATTATAAAAATTGGTTCAAAGTCAGAGGTAGCTGACAAGAGCAAGTGTGGTTATTGTGTATATATGATGGTAATGCCTTAAATAGGTGAGGGCAAATCAATTATGATTTTTGGCACTTCGGTCGATGTAGGTGAATTTACGTACATCGAGTAAATTGCAAAATATCATAATTGATTTACCCTCACCTATTTCCGGCATTACCATTATATATACATATTAACCACGCTTGCTCTTGTCAGCTACTTCTGTAGCTCAGTGGCAAGAGCATTGCACCGGCATTGCAGGGGAGATAGCTGAAGGGCAGATAGCTGACTCTTTTTTGTAGGATATATTGTCATTGCAAACGTACCGTATGTTAACACATAACCATTCAGCGATCGGCTTATATAATTAGCCAATCAGCGATAAATTTATAACGCGCTCACACCACAACCTAAAGCATGCAGAAAATATAAACATACAGTCATATACTAGTGACTCGTTATTGAAATTTTGGCTTCAAAAAATCCTGTTGAACATGGAAACTTATCCTCGTGAGGTAAGATCAAAACAATCTCTTCGGAGGTCAAAAATCAGAACAATCTCTTCTGAGACGATTAACGAAATTTAAAGAAATTCACTAGCGAACCATTATACATTTATATTGTATAGATAGCAGCTGTGTTCGGTCCTACTAAAGACCGCCCGAGACTTAAAAAAAACGCCCGACTGAAACTGAAGCGATTGTAATACTTGTAACATCGCAGCATTGCAGTCATTCAATTTATGTTTAATATTGGTAAATATGAAACGTGCTAAGAACCGGTCAACCATTCACTATAGCTAGTACAGATTGGCAGGCTGAATTGCAATTCGTGCATGAGGATTTCCCTCAGAAATTGCGCCCGGATTGCGTACTTTGCCAAGACGCCCAAAGTTGCAAGAAAACCAGGAAAAAAAGAATAAAAAACATAACACGAACAAAGTTATGTAGTAAAATCCCTCGCTGTGTTAGCCTGTTACGATTAGTTTCCACTCAAGAAAATTCTCCTTTGGATCAGACAGGACAGGAAAGTTTCCTTTGTATAAACGCCGCCTGAGAACTCACCGACAAAGGAAATTTTTCTGTCCGTTCCGATCCAAAGGAAATTTTTCCTGAGTGGAAACTAACCTTTAGCTGTATAAATTTAGATCACAATACGGGTAGCTGTTGTTACAAATACCAAGCGATCTAGAGACCCCGTGCACCTTTCAGGTTTCCTTTAAAAAGAATTATATTGGCTATCAAAAAGAGAAAAAGTAGATCCACTTCGCTGTAAAGCATTATTTTCAATATTTTGAAAGAAAAGCCCCTAGCCCTAGGTCATCCATTAATTTTAAATAAGATAGCTGGTAATTTCAAGCAATGTTCTTTTCCAGTTGTGCCAATGCGACATATTCTTATCAATTCTTTCGGATATTTAAAACATTTTGTCAACTTATAGTAGAAAGAAATATTTATGTAGTAAAGAATCATTTTGTAATGTTTTATACAGTCAAAAAATAGCAGGCAATATTGCTAGTAAACAATATCACATGTCTCAAAGGAACCTTATGTTCAACCACCCGCTGCAACCAACAGCGAACAGTTTAAGCGAAAGCTGATATTTACAAATATCAAGACGGCCAAGAACACAGATGTTTATCGGCTCGTTTTGCAAAAGATAACGGAGAGACAGGCCTTATTTCAATTCAACATGAAGCAGGTCCGAAACAAGTTTAAAAGGTGTTTTGCATTGGTACATGCAAGAAAGTGGCGCTGATTATCCAGAAAATCTGGCATACAGCGATTCATAGAAGATAAAGGTTTTGGAAAATGGTTCGTTGCTCTATTCCCATTGATTAAAAGTAGGGATTCGTGCCAGCCAGATCAAGCTGTTGAGCCATCGGCCTCAAGCAGCAAAACCACACCCTCATATTTCCAGAACACCCCATAGGGTGATGTAGAAGAAAGCGATTCTGGGGAGGATGACATACAGGAGAAAAATCGACCTAGGGCAAACCTGCTTGTCCCATCCAAAAAACGCAAAAGAAAGAACGACGTGGCGGAGCAAGTCACAAAAGTTGTGAATGTTTTGGAGGCGATGGTGAAAAATGATCCAACCAAGGAACTTCTCGAATTCATGAAGGAAGATGCTGAAAAATCCAAGCAAAGTGAAGCTTCTCTGAGGTCAGTCTCAAGGACCATATGCCCAAAACTTATCACGAACTCTTCAACAAGAACACCAGGAGCAACAACAGCAGAATTTACCACCTCAACAACAGTGTTTATCACAACAGCAGCAGAATTTTCCACAACAACAGCAGAATTTACCATCACGACAACAGTATTTACCACAACAGCTGCAAAATTTTATAGGTATGTGGAAACCATGAACTGCAGCCCAACAGACTGGAAATTCCCACATTCCTTCCATGTGGATGATTTTTTCTTTCATCTGTTTTCTGTTGAAGGAAAAAGAGAAGAGACAACACCGTACCACAGGTTGTACACAATTTCTTCGCAAACTTCAATTACAATGACTTAAGTGTATAGTAGAAGTACCAAGTCCACACATTTCAGCAAGGGGATAAGTGAATCCATTAATTAACCTTGACCATAAAGTTTGCTCCCTTTGGGAGTTAAAATTATTCTAAGCTCTATAATAAAAAAGAACGTTGAATTAGTTCAATGGTTTAAACACTTTCGCATAATTAACCACGTCTTGTTGATTGTACACAATGGGCATTGTCAAATTCCAGCTATAAGTTTGCGGCTAATTTGAATTTCAAAAGTGTACCCTGTATAATGTGTTCCACGTGGCTGATACAAGTTTGTGTCCAACCGTAACTAATTGCTAATGTCGGCCCTAGCCCACTCGACTCGACTGGACTCGACTCGACTCGATTGTTAAAAACGTTTTTGGGTGCGCTATTCGTCATTTGATGGATACTAAAGCCGGTTTTCCACTAGCGATATTTTTCGCGCGAAGCGACTTTATTCCTTTGTATTTGAGCAATTTGTTCCAGATGATTGCAGTTGAGAGCTCTGGAACAAAAGTAAATACTGGGGCCGGTTGTATAAAACTCTTAATTACTTTTTAATCACTTTTTTGTAGTTAAAACGTCGTTAACTTTAATCACGTATAGTTAAGCCAGTTGTGCATCTAAAAAAGTAGTTCGCGTTAATCGTAGTTAAAACGTAGTGAAAGCTAATCATCCTCAAGGGCATCGTTCACTTTCCAAATCGTAGGTAAAAATGGCGTCAATTGAGCTTGTGAGGAGTGAGAAAATATTAAAATCAACACATACGAAGGTTGTCAACCGTTATCAACTCAGAATAGGCCTCGTCGAAGCTTGTAAACCTTCAATATGTTTTTATTTTTGCCATTTGGGCAGCAGCGGAGTATATTTTTGCTTCAGGAGATGTGTCGATGCCAAATTACGATCCTATAGCAAAGATTAGCCATCTCCATTTTCAATTGCAATTGACTCAAAGTGACCTTTTTATATTAAGTGCGCCGACTGACTTTTTCCTTGTTTTATTGCATTTTTTCCAATATATTAGATCAAAATACTGTCAATTTTTTAAATACGAGTCCACAGTCTTGTTCAAAATCAATAACAGCGGTGAATAATTTCATGATTCTTCATGCTATTTCTCTGTTTACCAACCGCACGCAAGCTCCATGCAAGTTAACTAGGTGATCCGTCAAACTACGTCAGTTTCTGTAACGTAGTTAAGTCGTGTAGTTAACTAATCATAGTTAAGAATTTAACTACAGTGATTATCGATAATCATAGTTAAATTCAACGACGTTTTTATACAACCGGCCCCTGGTGTATGTACACAGGGTGCATGTTTGCTTTTTTTATGTATGTACGTATGTATGAACGTATGAATTCTCCTCCAAAGATATGTTATTTGGTGGGATAGGACTTAACTAATTATCAGGGACACGTGCATTTTTATGAATTAACATGATACATTGAAAAATACCGACTGATTTTGTGCAAATAACCGACCGCTATAAATGTTATAAATATTTACTGAGATTGAACAATTAATTGCATATTAAGATACACGAAATGGAAAACCGCTTCACTGAATTAGTTGCAGGGGCATCGGCGCTAATTATGATAGAGCATGGGAGTACTTTGACTCTATGTACGGGGACCTGCTTGTAGTATCGGCATGATACAATCTTGCAAGATATTGTCAAGTTTAAAACACTGAACGGCAACGAAGATACCAGATTCTAAACTAGTACGTTTAGTAAAGAGAAGCTATAACACACTAAAAGAGGTGTGTCTGCCAAACGATACTGAAAATAGTCATGTGCTGACAATTATCGAAAAGAAAATGTGCTTTGATGATTAATGAGGGCAAAACTAGCAAGTCGTAAGAAATGGAGCCAAAATAATTTTGCATGGTTTAATGTCATGCATGAGCGTGGAGATGAGGTCTAGAATGAGAGCTTCTCGACCGATACGGACAGGCATTCAATCCACCATGTAAAGAGCCCACCATAAGGAGGTTCAATGTCCTAAGTTTGCATCCCTCAGTTTAGAGTAACGACTACATTAAGAAAACGAGAATCAAGCATGTTATAATTGTTTTCAATTACATCGCACTCTACATGCATACAATCGATTCAGCATAATATTTTGTTTCTTGGCAGAGCTTTAAGAAAGAATTTGACAGTTTCCCATCGAAGTTTGCTTGAAGAGAAAGAAAGTTGTC